CATGGCTATTTCCCGAATTGATAATGAAGATGCATTTCAAATATATAAATTTTACAATTATATGACCTTAATAAATAACACAGACCTTGATTCAGATGATGGATCTGAAGTAACTTCGCCACTTAAGGCAGAAAATGTATACTTAATTACAGGAAAATTTTCAACAACTCAAGATGGTTCAATAAACATCTCTATTACAACTAATGTACAACTCCTTATCGATAAGGAAGATATTCCTATAATAAAACCAACTGTACATCTTCTTGGAAAGACTTTGGGGTATGCAGAATTAACAGAAAGTGAATATACTTTACAAATACAAGTAAAGCCATATTTATCTAAGGATCAATTTACTCCATTTACTGTAAATTTAACTCACCCACCAAATGGGCGATTTAAGAACGCATTAACAAAAGCCAGAAAAAATTCAACAGTTCATATAACAGGAGTATTTTTTTTTTGCAAAAGATCAATTATACTGTGAAATTTTGGAATTTCAGTTTGTATCAGCAAAAATAGAATCAGATAACAGTATTGTAGTTCCATGGAAATCAAAATCTGATTCATGTAATGAAGGATCTTCAAAATCTGTTATAGAACAAAGAATTTCTCTCATACAACAGAATTCAACAACACAACCATCATTGTCAATGACACCAACTAAAAATAAACGTAAAATAAATATGACTAAAATAGCAGATATTTCAAGATCTTTTCTATTACAAAATCAACAAAGTGATGAAATTCATGATAGTGAAACTTCTATTACAAATGAAGAAAATGAAGAAAGAATTAATGAAAATATTGAAGAAAATGAAGAGAGAAACGAAAATATTAAAAAAAAAATAATACACCAAAAATTTCAAATTCAACAAGAGGTAAAAAAAAAACAAAAAACTAAATAATGTTTATGAACTAACGTAACCCAGTAATAATCTTTTCTTTAATTTTTTTTATTATCTGTTCTTTATATTTTATATGTAATAAGTGTTATATTTATTTTTTTTAATGAAATAAAAAACGTATTTTATTTTTTATGTCAAAGAAAAGTGGTTTAAAAAAAAATTTGAAGTCTACGTAAAATTTAATTGCTGATCATGTTACACATGTCATAGATCACCTGACAAATACGAACTGTCTTTAAAATTCATTTTTATTATCTGGTATTTTTTATATCTTATATGTAATAAACATTATATTTATTTATTTTTTATTAAAAAAAAAAATTGAAGTTATTGTAAATTTTAATTGTTGATCCTTAATAATAATATTACAAATATATGTTATAGATCACTGATCATATATATACGAACTATTAAAACTTTCATAATAATTTGATTACTAATAATTTTTTTAATAATTTATTACTAACATTAAATCAATAAAACTGAATCAGATGTCCTAAATGGGATCAAATTCAAACAATGAATTTAAATAGAGATGCATTCAAAGTAGATCCAAATGTGATTAAAGAATATTCTCGCTTGGAACAAATAGCATCACAACCGCTTCCTATTTCATAAACAAACCTAGATTATCATGTTATCAGTTATCATATAAGTATAATAAAGCAATTAGGGATTCTTTAAAAAAAGTGTTTATTTGACTATGCATTTATGCTCATGTTACACCTAATTTTATTTTGAAGGCCGCCGCCAGGCGGCCATAGTGGTACAGTTCTAGTTTATAATATAATCAATATAGCATATATAGTGTGTATATAGTATGTACAGTATAGTAATTGGTTTATTTAATATAGTATATATATTTTATATAGTAAATGTAACTCATATATCAATATATCAAACATTAATTGGTTAAAACTACAAAATGTAAAAATATGAGTTAATCAGGTCACATTTTTTTAATTAATTATTATAAAAAACATTTTCTAATGTTAATGTTTTTTTAAATTATAATAAAAATGTTATTTTAATGTTTTTCAATTAACTATAATAAATAATGTTATTTTGACTTTTTTTGACATTTTTTTAAATTAACTATAATAAAAAAACGTTATTTGACATTATTTTAACATTTATTAAATTAGCCATAATAAAAAAAATGTTATTTAACATTTTTTTTAAATAAACTATAATGAAAAATGGTTATTTGACGTTATTTTAACATTTTTTTTGAATTAGCTGTAGTAAAAAAAAAGTTAATTCGTAATTCGTGTAACAATCGGAGCACCATTGAAATCTGCGTCTCTTACATAGGTAAATCGGTCAATTTTAACCGATTTGGCTGAAATTTTTACTGAGAAAACTCTGACATTGAGTCTATTTTTTCAAGTATTAATTGTAATTATTGTAAAACTTATAATTTCGTAAATAATTCTTAAAAGTTGTCAATTGGGAAAATTTACAAAAAATAAACTGTTAATCTTAAAATAAGAATAATTTTATTTTTTTACCTTAACTTTTTTTTAAAAAATCCAATAATAATATATCAAAATGTATATAAATGTAAATTTTGAGCCTGTTTCACACTTTTATTAATAAAAAATTGCAAAGCATTTTTACTAAAAATTTTGTTAATCAACAACTTCTAGCAATTATTTAAACTTAGTAACTGTTATAATTAATGCTTGGATAATATAGATCTAATGTCCAAGTTTTATCAGTAAAAATTTTAGCCTGTTTGGTTAAAAATTGACCGATTTACCTATGTACGAAATGGCATCAAAACGCAGATTTGCGAAAGTGCTCCGATTGTTACGCGAATTACGAATTAACATTAGTTTAATTTTTTTAAAATAAAAATATGTTATTTTGATAATTTTTCAATTAACTACAGTAAAAAAAGTTATTTGGACGTTT